CCCAGCACCCCCCCAATACGATTTTCATATTTTTTTTTGTCCTAATATTTAGTATGCAATTAGTATGAAGTAGTATGACCATTTTTCGAATTTGTACGCGTTTAGTTTTCGCCCCACAAACAAAAATCTGGGGCGGTGCTGGAGAAACGTTTCTCCAGCACCCCCCCCCCCCCATAAGAACCAGTTTCATCACGGGGTTTTTTTCGGTCCCATCATTTAGTATGCGAGACGTACGAATTTGTATGAACCTTTTTGAAATTCGTACGACCTCCAGTCCAAGTACAAATGTCGTTTCTAACATTTGGGCATTTCTCCAGCACCCCCCCCCCCCCAAATAGAACCAGTGGCATCACGGGTTTTTTTTCGGTCCCATTATTTAGTATGCGGGACGTACGAATTTGTATGACCCTTTTTGAAATTCGTATGACCTCCCGTCCAAGTACAAATGTCGTTCCTAACATTTAAGCATTTCTCCAGCACCCCCCAAATATAACTGATGGCAATAGTGTGTTTTTTTCGGTCCCATAATTTAGTATGTGAGACGTACGAATTTGTATGCTTGTTTTCAAAAACGATAGTTTAGAAAACTAGTTATTTTTTTGAATTTGCGTGATTGCCGAGTATTAAAAAAATATTTGCAACTCAACCATTGTACCTACGACCCAACACCCCATAGAGGTGTAGTATAGTATTAACCAATCCTGGAAGTGCTGTCCATATTTTCTATGTGCTTTGGAAATGAAAACATAAGTTGATCAGAAAAATTGTTTTTTATTTTAGTTCTTGTGATTTGCGAGTGTTAAAAAAATTATTAACCCAGTTGTGTTAAGTTAGATTATTTATTAAATCAGGTCTTTTATTAAATTTTTCCTTTTATTTAACTTTTATGCTTATCCAATTAAGAATATTTCTTATTAATTTTAGATTTATTTTTATCTAGCCCATTTTATTCAATTAAGAATATTTTTTATTACATCTGGATGGAATTAGATTTTTTTATCAAACAAAATTAATTTGATTAGAATAAAAATATTTAAATAGTATAAAAAAAAGTTAGATATTTTATTCAAATTGGATGTTTTTCATTAAATATAGATTTTCGGTATATAGAAGTCGGTTCTGTTGATTTACAAAGTAAACAAATATTTTATGAAATATTTGAAAGTAGCAATAAATACTTTTTAAAAGTATTTGTATTTTGATTGTATATGGGTGATATATCACCTCCCAGAGCCTTTTTTTTAGGATTTATTTTACCCCGCTCACGGGCCGCCGGCCTGACCGATGTGGCGGTAAACGTTTTCATAATACGTGTTACCTTGGTTTTTAACATAATGTTGGTGCGCGGAAACGTTATCAATTATCATGTTTTTCTGTTAACCTTCGTCACGGATGTGGTGACTTCGGCGCTTATCACCACTTTGCTCTCACCGACCGAGTTACCACCCGCTCCGCGGTACCAACCATATTTATATTGTCATTTGTGATTTATTTTATATTCGTTTTATTTTTACAACTTCTGTGATTTTTATATATTTATGTTCCCACGCTAATCGATCTCGCGTCTCCGATTGGCGACGCCATCTCTGTCGTCCCCGACGCTCACGACGCGGCCGTCCGACCGGCCGGTATCGTTCTCTTTGCTCACCGCCCTCGACCGAGCCACACGTACCGAGTATTTCGCTCCCGACCCGACGCCATGTTTCGACAACCGACGAGCCGTGTTACACTTACACGACCCGTAGGGTCCCCGTACACGACCGCTCGCCACGGCCACCGAAATCATGCCCGACTCGCCTACGTACCGACGCTCGCTCGACCGCGCGCGCATTGAGCACACACCCGACACCGTCGACCTGAACGACCATGCGTTCGACCCCAAATCGTACCATCTATCGTCGTACTGCGTACGACCACATATTTATATTTTGGTGTCTAACAATAAACGACTTTCGACGCAACCGCGTCAATCAACGACATTGTGTGTTCCTTTCATTTCAAATACCTAAACTTGTGCACCTAACCTCTCTGCGACGGAGTCCAGAACGAACGCATGTTGATACAGTGCGGGGCAACCCCACTTGTACCACACGGATATAGATACTACTATCACTAGTATCTGTATCCGTGTAATCCGTGTATTAGTAATAACTAATAGTGTATTTTTGATTATTTTAAATGTAAAGTGTAATTTAGTACTGTAAAGTACAGTTCATATTGTGTTCATTTTTAAAAAAATGTCGAATACCATACAAAATTACTTTTTAAAAAGAAAACTGGAAGAGACGGATGACAACAATTTTACACACGTTGATGTTGATGATGAACCCATGTCTCTGAATACCGAAAGATTAAATCCACTATCCAGTTCCAGTAAGGTAAGTAACTACTACCTACCTATATGCTATAATGTACATTAATTCGGATTTTCAGGATATGATGTATGCATATACATTTGTTTATATGATGATAATAATTGTTTAATTTTAACGGTTTATACTGTTTATAGGATAGTGTTGTTGATGATATAATTATAAAATCTGTGGATTTTGTCAGTTATATGAATCGCACACTAACGGATAATGAAAAGTTATTTGTGAGTATTATTATTTTAAACTAAAATAATTTTGTGTATGCTATGCATTGATTTTAATTGTACTTAGGTGCTTAAAAATATCTGGCATCCTCCTAGAAATTATGCATTTCCATTATTAGATAGAAACAAATCAAGGGGATTAAAATGTCAGTTTAAATGGTTAGATCAGTATGCATGGCTTGCTTTTTCTGAAGATATGGCCGGTGTTTTTTGTAAATACTGCGTTGTATTTGCTAGAACTGGTGGTATGCAGGCTAAACTGCTTGGTCAGCTTGTTCTAAATTGCTTTAATAATTATGCAAAAGCTACAGCGGTAAATTATCTAAACACTTGGCATTGTTTTTTAATCTTTTCTAATTTATTCTATAATTTACTAAAGACATTTCGAGACCATGCTAAACATAAATACCACTGTCATGCTGTTATGCAAGCTGATCATTTTATAAGTATAATGGAGAAGAAAAGTTTAACAATTATTGATCAAATTGACTCTGAAAGGTTTGAACTTTGAATTAATAATCATTTTAATCACTGACTGTATAATATAAGTTTAATTCAGAGTGTCCCAGATTAAAGAAAATCGCAAGAGACTGATTCCTATTATTGAATTTGTGATACTATGTGGACATGAAGAGCTTCCCTTAAGAGGACATAAAGACAGTGGATCAATTATTGTTAATGGTAAATAAAAAATAAAAAATATAATAAATTGGTATTTAATTTTTTTTTTTTTTTTGATAGATGATACTTCTAGAGAAGGCAATTTCAGATCAATTCTAAAATATAGAGCGAAAGGCGATGAATATCTAAAACATATTCTCGAAGAACCTGGACAAGGGAACCGACGTTATACCAGTCCCATTATTCAAAATGAGATAATAGATGCTTGCAATACTATAATAATGAAAAGAATTGCAGACAATGTGAATAAGTCAAAATGCTTCTCTATTTTAGTAGATGAAACATCTGATATATCTACAACTGAACAGCTTTCAGTATGCGTTAGATATATGAATGATCAAAATATATTACATGAAGATTATATAAAATATATTTCTGCAATTTTTTGTTATTGAAAGCCTATATGGTGTGGATTTAGCAACATCTATATTAAATGGTACCTAACTATATTATAATTAAAAACTTATCACTTTAGTTTAATAAAAATTATTAAATATGGTTAAAATTTAATTTAGGATTGGCTGCTTGTGGAATAAACTGCAATTATCTGAACGGGCAAGGGTATGATGGAGCCATGAATATGGCAGGCAGGATCAAAGGTGTTCAGTCAGTGATAAAATCAAAATATCCTAATGCTTTGTATGTTCATTGTGCGGCGCACTCATTGAATTTAGCAGTGTCAGCAGCCAGTGACCTGCAGCCTATCCGAAACTGTTTGGGCATAATTGAGAAAACTCATGTTTTTTTTAACACTCCAAAACGCAATAATGTTTTACAACATGAAATTGAAAATGGTGATATATTACCAGATGCCAAAAAATTAAAACGTTTATGTGCTACTAGATGGATACAGCGGTATGATGCGGTTAATGACTTTATTCAGTTATTACCATTTGTTGTCAATGCACTACAAACAATTGCGACTAAGTGGAAAGATTCATCTTCAATAGATACAGATATGCTGAAAAAGGCTATTACAGAATCAGAATTTTTAATTTCTCTTTATGTAATCAAAGTGAGTTGGTAAACTAGTTACTATAATTAATTTATAATTGTTTGAATTTGGTACCTATTTATAAATAAACTTTGTTTTTTTTTTTTTTAATTTATTATAGGTTTTATTTTCATATGGTTTGCCACTTTGTAAGAAATTACAAAAAGTGCGTATCGACTTAATGCAGACAATAGAATTAGTTGAGGATGTAATAGATTGCCTTCAAAATTTACGAACTAATATGCTGATGAAGAATTCAATCTTATTTTTAAAGAAGTTAAAGTACTATAACGTTTATTATTTTAACTAAAATGGAATAAGTATTATATACATTTTTTTTAGCAAACAGCAGACTCGATTGGTACTGAGTTAAAGACCAAAAGAGTTGTAGGAATACAAAAAAACAGAGCATATCCTTAAGTTGAAGGTTTATCTATAGAAAACTATTACAGAATTACTATTTTCATTCCATACGTAGAAAACTTTATACAAGAACTTAAAAATCGGTTTATGAACCACAGATCTGTATTTTAAGGTAAATAATATATACATTGTAATAGGTATACAGTTTTACTTGTTATTCATGACATTCTTAAATACATTTTTTTTAGGATTTGAATGTATCTTTGGTAGTTCAAAACTTACAACTGAAGATATTGACCAATTCAATCAACTTATTGAGTTTTATTCTCTGTTATTGATGCATTAGTGGCATTGACAGAATTAAAAATGTTTAGGAACAAACTTGCGAGCCAAAATATAACACTGAAATCAGCATTTGATGCATTGTTAAAATGCAATAAAGATATATATCCTAATATTCATTTTTTATTTAAAATTTTATGTACCTTGCCAGTTTCTACAGTTTGTCCGGAACGGTCATTTTCAAGTTTAAAAAGGATTAAATCATATCTACGCAACACAATATCTGAAGTAATACTGAAATAATATATTAACCTATGCATTTTGTAATGTTTTATTTTTTCAATTTAGAAGAGGCTAAATGGTTTAGCAATGTTAAGCATTCATCGCGATATTGAAATTAATGTAGACGAAGTGTTGAATGAAATGTCTCAAAAACCAAGACGAATGACTATTATTTTGTGATTTTTGTATGAAAATAAATGTATAATATTATAAATTTTGGTGTAGTTTTAAGTAACATCATGGTGACATGGCCAGAATGGCCTATATAGTGTACTTTACCGAAAGGTATGATAACATAATGTGATCCTAGATATTTGTCCCCCTCGCAGCCTGCCACCAATATGCTAAATAATTTTGGTCATATCACCCCCTAGAAAAAAATCCTAGATACGCCACTGCTTTAAGTAGGTAACTGTCTTAACTAAACACACATGGGTTAATAATTTTTTAAAAACTATCATTTTTGAAAACAAGCATACAAATTCGTACGTCTCGCATACTAAATGATGGGACCGAAAAAACCCCATGATTCCACTGGTTCTATTTGGGGGGTGCTGGAGAAATGCTTAAATGTTAGGAACGACATTTGTACTTGGACGGGAGGTCGTACGAATTTCAAAAAGGGTCATACAAATTCATACGTCTCGCATACTAAATGATGGGACCGAAAAAAACCCCGTGATGCCACTGGTTCTTGTGGGGGGTGCTGGGGAAACGTTTCTCCAGCACCGCCCCAGTTTTTTGTTTGTGGGGCGAAAACTAAACGCGTACAAATTTGAAAAATGGTCATACTAATTCATACTAATTGCATACTAAATATTAGGACAAAAAAAAATAATGAAAATCGTATGGGGGGGGGGGGGGGTGCTGGGGTAATGTACGTCAAATATTTATTTATCTAAAACATTTTATTAATATTGCTTATTAACATTTGTTAGCGGTGATGAATGATGACATTTCCGAAGGTGATGACGATGATAATGAAAGTGATGGAAGTGATATAGAATACAGAAAACTGTAGATAATACTAAAATTGTAAAAGACAAAAGTATGTCAAATATTTATTTATCTAAAACATTTTATTAATATTGTTTATAAACATATTCTAGCGGTAATAAACGATGGCATTTATGCAAAACTTAGATCTATTGATCAGAAATGGTCCAGCTCATTTCAAAATTTACAGAAGCAAGCTACGAAAATGAAACAAATGTCTGAAAATAGATTTTGCCAGGGAAAAATTGGCGAGAATGTGATGATAAGAATACCCGATGTAGATAGAGCAAGATGTGATCTTCGCAATATTCTAGGTGTTATACTTTCTGGTAACTTAGAACTTTATATTTATTCTTATTCAAAAGTATAATTAGTATAAATATAAATTAATTGTATAAATTTATGCTTTATAGTAAAAGACAATTTGTACGAAATTGGGACCAAGGAAGGAAAAATAAACCAAATGGGGTGTAGGGTGGTCCTTCCTTATGGGAGAAGAAAAAAAAATTATTTTTTTTTATGCAGGACCCTCCCATTTTTTTAAGTGTTATAAGAAAATAATTTGAGGTGAATTTGGTTATGATGACTTACATCCTTCTCGTGCCGCAAGAGGGATGAAAAATGATCAAATAGGGTAGTTTTATGGTTTTTCCAATTTAACTCAAAAAATATTGACCCTATCGTAAAAATGTATAGAACATTTATTGTAGCGTTAATTACTGTCTATAAAAAAGTATTAATTAACATTTCTTGTAAATCTAGTATTTTTGCACGAAAATAGCAAAATACAAATTATTTAATTTATTCGCTAAAATTGATATTATTATATTATATTATATCTATTAATTATTCAAGTATACAATTAAATATATTAAAATAAATGAATGTAACATTTAATTTTCTAAAAAAAATGTTATTTGTTAGTTTTATTTGATCGACCAGTTCAATATTATACTTGGATTTATGAAATTGTAAGCTAAAAATAAACAAAAAATTACCACTGTCACGATCTCTTGTATTTGCTATCGCTTTTCTACAGTTATTATTATGATTATCCAATGGTCAATAGCGTCAATAGCAATAACCATTAGCTATATGACTCGTTTACAATTGGCAAACGATTACGGACAGCACATGCCATAAATTGTTATCTTAGTTTTATTTGATGAAATTTGTAGTATATCAATATTAGTGTGTTAGTTGTCAACAAGTTTTTAGTGGACGATATTGTATTAAATAATATAAAATGCGGTGACAAAATATTCATCTGATCGGTTCAACGAAAAATCAAATTCTAGGTAGCAAACTTCCTTCATTAAGAGACTGCTTGAAAGTATTATTTTATAATATGAGATTCGTAAATATGACTTTATCCGAAAGCTCCAATTTGGTGATCGACGAATGTCTAATTTTCTGGAAAAAGGCCCGTATTCCAACAAAAGATAAAGCTGATTGTGTGAAAAATTTTTAAAAAAAATACGAATTATGGCGCAATCTTGAAAAGAGTAAAAAGCGCGAAAATGCAAGTTACAGTTCAAAAGTTGAAGAATTTGAAGAAGATTTGGATAAACTATTCGACATTGCTCATTCTAATGCTTTAGATTTAATGAAAATTGAGGTGGACAAAGCATTTTTAATTTCTCAGCGAAATCCCGGTCGTACAGGTTGCATGTTAGGAGTAGATATGAATCAAACAAATAAAGAAAAAAGAAAAAATGTAAGAATAGAAACAGAAATTGCAAAAAAAAAGAAATACAATTCTCAAATTTCAGAATCTGCCACAGGTAATTAATAATTATTTAATGTAAAATCCTCAAAAATTCCTTATAAAATGATTTAATTATAAATATTTTAGTTGAAATACCAACAAGTTCAGATGAGTCTGAAAATGTTAGCGAGGAAAATGATATTCCTTCAGATAACTGTTGCCCTGTCTCATCTAGATCCAAAAGGTCCAACAAATCAATAATGACACCCCGGCTTTGTGCAGCATTAGATAAGTGCAAGGTAAATAATTACCATTGATATCAATTAATCGTATATATTTATTGTTTTGGTAATGTGACGTTAAAAAACGTTATTATTCAACAAATTAACAACTATATTTAAAATTTGTTTTTTTTTTTAAATATTAACCTCTTCGTTTTTCGATTAGGTCAGGTTAGGTTAGCCTTCAAAACGTATTTGGTACATATGTGTTAAACTTACAAATTCAATATTAATTTAAAACAATTTTTCTAGAAATACGTAATAATTACGTATTTAATTTATATTTTCAAGGTTAGTGATCGTGATGCTGTACATTTATTGTCAGCATTCATTGAAAGTGTTTCTTTGGACCCTGCCCTTTATGTAATCAACCGAACATCTATAAAAAATGCACGACAAAGTGTTAGAGAAAAAAACGCTGAAAATGTGAGGTCAGATTTTTTAAATTTGAATGTAGATTTTGCCATTGTTCACTGGGATGGAAAAATACTTTCTGACTTCGGAGGACACGGAAAAGTCGATCGTTTGCCAATAATTGTAACAGGTCCTAATTTTGAGCAACTTCTTGGTGTTTCCCAAATTCCATCTGGTACAGGATTAGAAATGTCATCTGCTATATTCGATACTCTTGAAAAATGGTCATTACTTGATAAAGTTCAGGGATTTGTATTTGACACGACGTCTTCAAATACAGGCAGATTTAACGGAGCGTGTGCTCTGCTAGAACAACGACTGGAAAGAGATGTTCTTCACTTAGCATGTCGTCATCATATTTTTGAGTTGATTCTTCAAGCGGCTATAGTTGAATCAAAATTACATATATCATCCGGACCGGATATTGCAGTTTTTAAGCGTTTTAAGAATGCATGGAATGGAATAGACACCAAAAATATTTTTGTATGGAGCTCATATGAAATGTTAAAAAATATTTTGTCACCAGTGCGTCAAGAAATGTTGTCTTTTTGTTTAGAAATGCTAACAGTAAAACAACCAAGAGACGACTATGAAGAATTTTTGAAACTTGTTATTATTACACTTGGTGAAACACCACCAGGTGGAATAATAATTCGTAAGCCTGGTGCGTGTCATCAAGCAAGGTGGATGGCTAAAGCAATCTATTGTTTGAAGATCTTTTTACTAAGATTAGAATTTAAGTTGACAAAAACCGAAGAAAATGCTATCTGCCGAGTCTGTGCGTTCATTATAAAAATTTATATCAAGTCATGGTTTACAGCAACAAATGTAAGTGAGGCCCCTTTAAACGATATTGATTTAATACGTAGATTATTTGAATATTCGATTGATGATGAGCATATAGCTACATCATGCTTAACAAAGTTCTTAAACCATCTATGGTACCTCAGTAACGAGTGTATGGCATTTTCTATTTTTGATGAACGAATATCCATTGAAAATAGAAGACTGATTGCAGTTAAACTCAAAGGCTATGAAAACATGAATCAACCATGTGAAGAACTAGTGGAAGAAGAAAATGTTCAATATAAATTGGTTTTAAAAATAGAAAACGTTAAATATCTTACAGATCACCCATCAACTCCAACATACCTACAATTATATAGGATATTATCCGTTTATTCATTGATAAAACCTCCAAAAACTGGAAATTGTACCATCTTAGAAGGTACCTACCTAATAAAAATATAAATTTATTTACACTTCAATATTTTGAAATTGCTCCACGTTTTATATTAAAAATAAAAAATAAAATTGATACAATAATAGAAGAAGGAGTGTGGGACTTTGACGATATTTTCCAAGAACACAACAATTTTAACAGGAACTCTACCGTTTTTGATTGTGTGGTGTACTTTTTATCTGGATAATCAATGATTACCTAATTATTAAATAATTATGTATCAGGTTAGCTTATTATTAATTTTCAATATAAATATTGTGTTTAAAGTTATATAGACAAAAAATTAAACTCAAATATCAAGTGTAAACAATGTTTGGATAGTATAAACCTGAATATGGACAAGTCATAATAGCAGAGGCAGAATTAGTAGTTTTTGAGGAAACTTGTGAAGACTTTTTTAGTAGAAATTTTAAGTTAACTTTTCCTTGTGGAGATCATAAAAGTAAAATAGTTACCAACATTTTTGTTCTTTACATTACTATGAGGATGAGGCAATTCAGCTACGCTAAAAACTAACAAACTAAAAAACAAAAAAAGT